GTGAAAACAGGAATTGGTTCAGTGTTGTATCCTAGGCACTTAGAGAAATGTCTTGCACATAGCAGGTGCTCAGTAAATGACTGGGTGAGAGACTCTGGTCCAGCCCAGGTGGAGTGCCCACTTGGGGGTACAATCAGGGAAGGGTGGCAGGGGAGTACAGACATAACCAGAGGGACCCAGCCCTACGGCAAGTAGAGTGGGACTCTCAGGTGCCGAGGTGTGGGAAGTTACACTTCCCAAAATGTCCACCACACATGCCCACAGCATTGTGGTCCCCTGGGCTTGGACAGTTGTCAGGTTCTTGGGACGGGCTCTGCTGGTCACTGTCTCAGCTGCCCAGCACTAATGCCCCATCTTCCCCCAGGGCGGGTGTACTACCTGGAGCAACCCGAGAAGCTGACGCTGAAGGAGGCCCGGGAGGCCTGCCAGGAAGATGGTGCCCAGATTGCCAAGGTGGGCCAGCTCTTTGCTGCCTGGAAGTTCCATGGCCTGGACCGCTGTGATGCCGGCTGGCTGGCAGATGGCAGCGCCCGCTACCCTGTGGCTCATCCCCGTCCCAACTGCGGGCCCCCAGAGCCTGGAATCCGGAGCTTCGGCTTCCCAGACCCTCAGAGCCGCCTGGATGGCGTCTACTGCTACCGCCCCCGCTAGGATCTGGGCGACCCGCTTTGCATCCCCCAGGGGCTGTGTATTTATTGAGTGGTTCGATTCTCCTAATGGGTGGGGGCAATTTTAGTATTGTTTTTATACTTCTCAACTTAAATATTTTTTAAAAGTATCATTATTTTTTGTAAATCCAGCAGCATCCAAGTACCAGCTTCCCTGGACACCCTGAGGCGCTCCCCATCACAAATATTTGATGTTTGTGAGCCTTTTAGAGGGCTCCCTGCTATCTCTGAGTCCAGCCTGTGTCCTTCCTCAGAGGAGGCTGATACCCGAATGGGCAGTGACCTGGCCACCAGGGGTCAAGGCATGGTGGCTGCTGCTCTCCCTCTGTCTCAGTCTGGGAAGGAAGAGGAGTTGGTGATGGGGGGGGGCATCCTTTTTATTTCTGGAGTGGCTTCCTAGGCTTCTCCTTGAGATCTGAGGGGAGGGAGAGAAGCCCTCTCCCTTTCTCATCTCCACTCTGTTTCTTCTCATTTTCCCTGTGTGGAGAGCTGCCTTCAGGTGTGTGCACCTTCTTTCAATGATAAATGGTGCTATGACTCCTTCCTTTGTCCCCAACCTGCTTCTGTGCCTGGCTCTCTGTCTCGTCCAGTCTCAGGGCTCAGCTCCCAGCCTGGTGGATGTGGTAGGTTCGGTTCTGTGCCATGCTTCACAGGTGGCGGGGTCAGCGCACCTGGGGTGGGCAGAGAACTCCGTGTGCTGCCCCAGGCTGTGCCCTGCCTCTGGTACTGGTCCAGCAGCTGGCTCCCTGGCTTGCATCCCCCAGCCCCTGATAGTGTGTCTGTGTGAGGCCCAGCAAGAGAGAGGAAGGTGCCCTCTAGAGGGCCTTAGAAGCCAGGCTCTTGGGCCTGATCCTCTGGGCCTCACCCTGAAGGAAGGCACTTTGGTTGCTTCTCACAGGCATGCCCTGCCACTTACCTCTCAGTAATGCAATCAGTTTTTCACCAGCCCAGTGCTACTCAAAGTCTGGCCAGTAGCAGCGGCAGCAGCAGCAGCAGCAGCATTTAGAATGCATTAGAAATGCAAATTCCTGGGCCTTATCTACAGAGTTAGAAACTCTGGGGTTGAGATTAGGCCCCTTGTTATCACAAATCCTCCAGGGGATTCTGAAAGCCACTAGCATAGATGGTTGTTTTACCAATTACAGATAGTCTCTGATGTATGATAATTTGACTTACGATTTTTTTTTTTTTGCACTTGGCATTGAACCCAAGGGAGCTTTAAATCTGAGCTACATCCCCAACCCTTCTATTTTTTTATTTTGAGACAAGGTCTCTCTAAGTTGCCCAGGATAGCCTTGAACTTGTCCTTCTGTCTCAGCCTCCCAAGTTGCTGGGATTTTTAGGCATGTGTCACTGCGTCCAGCTGACTTATGATCTTTTGACCTTACAACCTTGTATTAGTCAATGTCACTTTCCTATAATAAAATATCAGTCATAAGTAACTTGTGAAGAGAAAAGGTCTATTTTGGCTCATAGTTTTGGAGGTTCCAGTCCAAGATTGAGTGGCTCTTGTTCTTCTGGACTTTGCATAAGGCAGTATATCAGGATAGGTGTGGATGGCAGAGAAACAGGCTCACCTTATCAGCAAGGAAGCAAAGATAAAAGACCAAGAGGGTAGTGTCCCAAAATAGCCATTCAGGGACCTGTTCCCAGTGACTGATGGACCTCCCAGAAGGGCTCACCTCCTAAAGGTCTACCAGCACCTCTCAATAACACCACCCTGGGGACCCATTTCTCAACACATGGTGCTTTGGAGAATGTTCAATATCCAAACTGTAGTAGATGGCATGAAAGCAATAAATGTTCAGCAGAAACTTTACTTTGAGTTTTTTTTTTTTGTATGTGTATGGTATTGGGAATTGAACCCAGGGGTGCTTTATCATTGAGCTACATCCCAGCCCTTTTTTATTTTTTATTTTGAGACAGAGTCTCACAAAATTTCTGAGGGTCTTGCAAAATTTCTGAGTCACACCTTGAACTTGTGATCATCCTGCTTCAGCTTCCCAAGTCACTGGGATTACAGCTGTCCACTACTGTGCCTGGCTGCTACTTTGAATTTTTAACTTTGATCTTTCCCTAGGCTAGCAAAATGTGGTGCAATTCTCTCTTACAATGCTGGACAGTGGCAACAAGCAGGGCTCCCAGTCACTCAATCAAAAAGAGACACAATAGATCCTCTACTGTGTACTATGTTGCTAAGCTCTGATGTTTGGTAGAATATATATATTAAAATGCATTTAATTTATCTTTTTTTAAATTGGGCTAGGGATCAAACTCAGGGCCTCGTGCAAGCTAAGTAAGAGCTATACCTCCAGCCTCTCTCTCTCTTTCTCTCTCTCTCTCTCTCTCTCTCTCTCTCTCTCTCTCTCTCTCTATATATATATATATATATATATATCATAAAAATATATATTATATTTTTAGTACCAGGTATTGAACTCAGAGGCACTCAACCACTGAGCCACATCCCTAGCCATATTTTGAGACAGGGTCTCACTGAGTTGCTTAGTGCCTTGCTTTTGCTGAGGCTGGCTTTGAACTTGCTATCCTCCTGCCTCAGCCTCCGAGCCCAGGTGTGCTCCTGACTCTAAATATATTTTCGATTTCGGATATTTTCAATTTATGATGGGGTTTATAGGTATATAACCTCATAAGAAGTATCCATAGTCAGTTAATTTATCCATCAGTTACATAATTATTGAGTCCCTACTATTTGACTAGGGTCTATGTGCTTCTTTGCTCACCCATTCTTTCCAGAGCTATAAGTAACCTGGACACATGTATATATCACCTGCAAAGGCTCAACCATGCCCATACCTACACCTGAAAATATATGGCACACAAACTCACACTGGCATTCACTTCCAACACAAACACGTTTGAGACAAAGCCTTGAAGGCATATTGATGAGGGAGAGGTCCCGAGGGGGCACTGGAAGGTCACTCAGTGTTTGGCCTGCACATTCCAGCTCAATTCTTGGGGTACAATAAACAGTAAATATTGCTCTTGTTGGTGTCTTTTTTTACCCAGTTCTGGGAAATGAACCCAAAGGTGCTCTACCACCAAGCTATATCCCAGCCCTTTTAATTTGATTTTTTTTTTGTAATGCTGGGGGTGGAATCCAGGGTCTTATGCATGCTAGGCACGTGCTCTACCATTAAGCTCTATCCCAAGCCCCTTTTAATTGTATTTCAAGACAGAGTCTTACAAAGTTGCTGGCCTCGAACTTGTGATCCTCCTACTTCAGTCCCTTGTGTGGCTGGGATTACAGGTGTGCACCATAACTCCTGAGGTTTCATTGTTATCTTACTTAAATGCACAATGTCCAGATCTTTTTGCTAGCAGTCAGCTGACCCATTTGCCCCAAAAATGTATAAGCAAGATTTATTGTTCCTAGATTGTCTGCCATTTGTTTTTTTTTCCTTCCCTTTTGTTAAATCCTGAGTTTCCCAGTTTTTAGATTTAGTTTACCAACACAGTGTGATGGCAAAGAACCAAACTATGCAAGATGACCAGATGTTTCTCTTGTTCTTTTACAGTGCCCACTTGCTCGTCCACCCACAGTGCCACCTACTGACACATCATGCATGTGACAGGCACCCCCAGGCACACATTCCACATTCCTATCCACACATGTGCAGAATCCATCCAACACAGCTTCACTCTAGTAAAAAATATAAAGCACACCAGACATGACTGTCCCAGGCTCTGAACAGACAGGAGTCACACAATGTGGGGTCACTTGATCAAAACATGTCCCCACTGTCACCATTCCTGAGAGCCTTCAACAGGCCTTAGATTGCGGTTGCCTTCTCCTTAAATTGAAAAAAGGGAAAAGAAAAGAAATAGATCTCTTCCAATGTCTTTATTATTATAATTATCATAATCTTTAGTTTTCAAAAATATAAATAGGTGCACGGAACCCTGGTGCCTGCACGGTCCCGGGGGTGGGGTGGGGTGAGGGGGTGGGTGGCACTCCCTCTGGAAGGAAGTGCCCCCACCCAGCCCTGCCGAGAGATTGACACCTGCTAGGGTGGCAGACCCAGGTGAGAGGACACGGGGAGAGGGACCCCCTGGAGGGAAGGCGACCCCCACGCTGTGAAGATCCCTCTGCTGGCTCTCTCCTGCCCGCTGACCCCGGGTCAGCTGGACCCTCACCCCCAGGCTTCTACCCCACGCAGATGGTGCAGCCCTCCTGGCTCCTTTTGTCCAATACATTCAGCTGCGGTCCAGTCTGAGTCCTTCAGGCCTCTGCCCCTTCCACCTCTTTCCAACCCCTCCTCCCTCCTCCCTAGCTCTCCCTGGAGGTGAAATAACCAACGACTCTACTGCTCTTGGATAAAGTCAGGAAACAAAAAATAATCTTCTTTATTTAACTTAACCCCTTCCCTCTCCCCCTGTCCCTGCTCTGGTCCCTGGAAAGGCACAACGGGAGATTGAAGAAATGTCTCTAAACTCAGTCCATGGGTTACAGTAAGTTTGCTTTGCTTTGGCATTTGGGGGACAAATTAGATGAGGTTTTGGTGACTTGGGGATGGGGTGGGGGTGGGTGCATACACAATGTGGGATTCATTTTTTTTTCCTTTAATGGGATTCCTTATATGACAAAAAGTGACAAGAGGACACCAACTGGATGGGATGCACTGTCTGCCTGCCAGGCTCCCGGGCTCAGCATCCTGGGTGCGTTCTGGAAACTCTTCTCAGTGGGCCGTGCTGGGGTGGCTCTTCCTTGGGGGCCGTGAACTCCGTTTCTGTAGTCTGCGCTTGTAGGTGGTGGCTGGGGTGAAAGGAAGATGGGAAATATCGGTGAGCCAGGAAGAAGTGAGGCCGAGCTGAGGTGTTCCTCACTCTGCCCCTCTCTGCTGGCACCCCTCACTGCAAAACGGAGGCTCAGGAAGCCAGCCTTTAGCTGTACAGAGCCTCTTTGGGCTATGGGCATGCAGGCTGTTGTTGAAAAGGAAAGCAGGCCACCAGTTTTCTGCTACCTCCCCTCTCTGAATATGAGCCCTCTCCTGGGTCAGGCATCTGGCCTTCCCTAAGTCACAGATCACAGATCTCAGTCACAGTTCACTGACTTTGCCACCCTGGCTTAGTCTGAAGGATGGTGCAGCATCCCCAGGAGACAGTGAGTCCCAGCTGTCCCCTCCCAGGGATAGGAAGAAGGCCGTGCTGGCCAAAACCAGCCCCAACCCCTGTTAGTGCTCAGAGGGTGATGCTCACGGTCCGTGCAGGTGATCCGAGGCTCCTCCCAGTGCCCGCTGGGTTGGCACCGGATAGTGGGCACATGGCGCTGGACAAAGCCCTCAGTGCACTGGTACCGAACCAGGGAATTGATTTCATATCGGTCCTTCTTCTGTCCAAAGGTCCTGGCATGTTCCACCACAGGGGGGTCTCCGCAGGCCACTGAGGGGGCAAACACCCTTTAGAAAGGAGTCTCGTGGGGTCTTCTGTGATGACCCTGTGGTCTGTGACAAGCTCAGAGCCCAAGGCTCTGTGAGAAGGACGTTGAACTCCACACCTGGCAGAGAGCCCTGGTTGCTGGCAAAGGGGCATTTTTATCCAGTGTCAAGAATCGGGAGACCTCTGGTTCTAACACCTGGGTTCTTTGGTGGTACAGAGTGACAGGAGCAGAGTACAAAGGGAACTATAAGACCATGAAAAAGGAAGAGAGGGAGAAAGATGGGGAAAGAGGGGGAGAGCCAGGCAGACACTTGTGGCTTCTTTATGAAAACATCCAATGCCAGGGAAAGAGGGACCCAAAGGATAGCTGTGGACACAAGGCCACGAGAAGGAGCACCTGGATGTCCACAGATCTAAAGCTGAGGGATTAGGGCCTGACAACCCTGATTCTGTGACTGATAGACTTGGGAACCCCAAAGAGAGGGAGATTCCCAACCCAGGTACCATAACGGGTGACTTTCTGCCACTGATATCTAAAGGAGAGTCCTGTCCTCTAGCCTGAAACCTTCATATTCTCATGTCCCTGTGGTCAGTGCCTAGGAGCCAGCTTGCCTTTGCCATTGGCTCTGAATGCCGGTGCTGAAAAGGAGCCCCCAAGTCAGGTTCCATCTGCTTTTAGAGAATGTCCCCACAAGACACCAGCAGCTGGAAGACAGGGGATGCCCCCCAGGTCACACAGCAAGAGCCTCCCTTAGTGCAGAAAGTCCTGATTCTCTCTGCTCTGGATCCCCTCCCAGGCCATGCTCACCTGTGCCCTTTTTACACGTGAAGGGCAGGTGGTAATTGCAGGGAACATCATTCCACTCGCCCTTCTCATGCCAAATCATCACCACGCAGTCCTCTCCAGTGGCAAAGAAGTTGTCAGGCTGGTTGGGGCGCCATTTCTCAAATTGCTGCAGGCAGAGGTGGGGAAGGGGTGAGGAGAGGGCTGGAGCCTCATGGCTTGACCTGTCCCCCACTTTCCTTTCTTTCAGCCCAACTTCTGGCTTGTCTGGCATTGGGGAAGGGTTGTTGGAGGTGCCATGGAACCCATGGGTCCTCTGGGGAACTGGGCACACAGTTGGGAAGCTTCTCAGGAGTTCAGAACTCCCACGAATGGAGCCCTGAGAGGATTCAGCCTGTCACACCTGCAGCACTGACCCCCGCCTCTGCCATAGTGTTCACTTGGCATCTTCTGGCTTCCCATCTCTATGGACCAGGAACCTCTCTGAAGTGTTCACATGGCCTCTCATGGTGGTTTGCTGACATTCATTCCCTTCTCTCTGGCTCCCTCCCTGGCTTCGTGCCTTCTTTCACTCAATCAGTTCATCATTTCTGGGCTGATCCCCCAAGGCAGAGGCAAACGAGGCACAATCCCTGTCCTCCAAGGCTCCTGCAACTGCTCAGTGAGTGTTTGTACCTGATTTGAATGCGTCTCTGGGGGTCTTTATCCTACCCCTCCCCTCCAGGCCATGAGCTGTGGCTGGTGCACCCAGCAGAACTCACCAAGGGGTGTCCATCTGACCAGCGGAAGTCCCCTTCGATGGTCCTGTCATTCAAGCCGACCCACTGGTAGTCTTGAGCGTTTTCTGGAGAGGGAAGTTGGGTTTGGATCTGGCATTGGACACCCTGGGGATGTCTGAAAATTGGAGCTCAGGGGATGCAGTGTGCAAGGAGGCAGGTGGGCTTCTTGGGAGCGTGCCACCTGCTTCTCAGCACATGAATGTCTGGGGTACACTTTGGACTACCTCCCCAAGCTAGCATGGATAGATGGCAGCCACAGGGTGAGTCTGAGGCTGGTCCTGGTGAAGTGCTGTCCTGGGTCCTCTGTGCGCTCTCGGGGAACTAAAGCTACAATAAAGCCTTCCCTCCCTCCTAGCTCCCCGACCCTAACAGCCTCACTGGGTCCAAACTGCTAATTTCTTTTTTTCTTTCTTTCTTTTGTTTGTGGTGTAGGGATGGAACCCAGGGCCTAGTGCATGCTGGGCAAGTACTGTACCAATAAGCCACGCCCCCAGCCCCCACTCTGCTAGTTCTGACAAGTGAGACCCTTTGCCTACATGACCATTTTCCTCAGCCGCCACCACACTCACTGTTGACAAACTCCTGCTCCTCAGGGGTGACGATGCTGCTCAGGTGCGCTTGATGCTCTCGACACCGTCTCTCAGCATCCACCCAGGTCTCACGGTCAGGGAAGTGGCGGTAGCAGTGTCCCTGGAACTTGGTCCAGCCCTCCTCGCATACCTCCTGGTCTGCAATACAGGTCAGGGGCTTGAAGTGGAGTTCCAGGCCAGCTGGGGATGTGGTCGCTGCCAGCCTTATGACATGGGTTTAGATTCGCTCTTTCCTGTGCTCTCAAGGGAAGGAGCAGGCCCAGCTCGGGACATGCTCCTGTGGGAAGCCAGTAAGCCCTGGCTCCTCTAGTGGCCTCTATGTCTCATCTCTGGGAAATGTTAGTGCCAGGGACCTTTCTTTCTCTGATGCAGTGCCACTCCCTGCCCCAACTTTCCACCTGCAGGTGCCTGCCCTGGAGGGCCGACAGAGCTCAGTGGACCAAAGGTAAAAAATGTGGCAGGTTTTGAGATTTAAGGCAAAACATGGTTCCAAGAGGCTTTGTGGGAAGCAGATGGAGGATTTAGGAGGGGCAGGCCTGGGCAGAAAAAGGGGCTGGCAGCCTCCTTCCCACAGAAATGTGAGTGAGGACAGGAGCAGAAATCAGTCTGCTTTGGGTGCAAAGACTGACAGCGCTCAGGCCATTTATCAGCGAGGCCTCTGGCTGAGTTCTGTCTATGTCTTAGAGAGAGACACAGCCAGCCAGGGGTCCACCCCTGATCCAGGGGCCCTGGCTTTCATTTTTGTTTATATTTTGGTGGCAGATGGGAAAGGGGAGTACTTCTAAATGTGTAATGAGCTCTCTGCTCTGGAGAAGGAGCTGTTCTGGAGGGATATGCGGGAGCCTGTCACTCAGGATCAGTGACTATAAGCGTCACTTCCTAACTCCGCCTGCATGACATGGTACTGGCAATTTTAAATTGGCCCTGGTGAGAGTATTTGCCCCTCAGGAGCTGACAGATGCCACCATCAGGGCTCCTCTTTCCTCTGTGAAATCCAGTTGTCAAATGTCTGCCAGCGCAGCACTGGACAGAGGGAATTCAAGTCCTTCTCGCCCTTCATTGCCTGGGGCCTCCCACGTGGAGGGGTCCTCCTAGGTGGAGGACTGCCCACCCAGGTGGAGGGCCCTGGGGCCATGAATGCTTCAGGATGTAGGCAGCCTCCCACTGGATGCCACCAATCTGGCCATGCCAGGAAGGAAGGACTGGCAGGCTGGGGAAGGTGTGTTAGCATGCACGGTGGATGCTTGCCAAGGGAGGAGGATGTGGCTTGGGAAGACTGAAAACAGTAGAGTAGAGGCCAATAGTCTGGGAAGAAAGAGGTGGAGTAGCAGGAGGAACTGAGGGGAGGCCTTGTCGCCTGCTACCAACGCTCTCCCAGGGGATGAAGCAAAGGTCTGGAAAGCACTGGGGAGGTCTCGAAGGCAGCTCAGCACCACGAGGAAGACAGAGATTCCACCCCAGTGCTGACTTGTGGGGTCAGTTCTTGGGTCATCTCAGTGCCTGTGGGCTGACCTGGGCAGGCAAAGCTGGAGGGTGAAGCAGTTGGGGGGGTGCTTATGTGGGGCCATGCACGATGGGGGCTTTGTGGAACACAGACAGAATTCCAGGGAGACTGGGAAAGGCTGTGAGGCCAGAGATGAAGAATGAGGCACTATGGGGTGGTGAGGGCAGAGGGCTGGAGTGGGAGAAGAGATGCAGCCTGGTTTCACCGGGTACCCAGGCCCAGGGCCTCTCTGAGAGGCTCTGAAACAAACTCTGTTCCATCAGAGTTCAGAGCCCCATGAGAGCCCTGCCTCCATTCCTGTAGAACCTCCCCTTTCCATGCTGGAACCCCAGAGCTGTTGTCTGTGTGGATGTTCCAGACTCTTCTCTCCTTCTGCAAATGGTTTTGGTATCCTGGGGAGAAAATCCTGTAGCTTTCCACTCCCACCCAGCTGTATTCAGGCCTTTTCTTCTAGAAGCCTTAAATTCCTCCACTAACCTGTAACACTGTCATTGTCTTGGAGGGACATGCAAATCTCGACTACCACCCATACTGCTTATGCCCAGGAATTTCAGCTGCTTTCTGGAAGTTTCTGGTATCCACCTTGAGAGTTCTTTGAAAAAGAGCTTTGAGGTCTTGCACACTTCCAGGTGTGCATCATTGCTACCAACACCTGAAGCCTCATCTCCCCTCTGAGTCAGAAAGCCCATGCAATCTAGGGGAGCTGCGGGGAGAGTAGGAAGGTCCATAGGGAGAGAGCTGGGGCTCAGTCTGGCCCTGGGAAGGTTCCTGGAATATAGGTGAGAAATAAAGGGGTTGGCAAGACCCAAGAGAGGCAATTCAACCCCTGCCCCTTGCAGTGAGACTGTTCTTTCTGGCCAGTTCTTGGTCTTGAACGAGGAAGGAAGAAGGAAAGCATGACCAATGTAGCAGCTGTCATGATGTGAAGGAGAGAAGGTGACATGCAGCAGTCCCTTTTCATGCATGACTTGAGCATGCTGGTGACACAGGAGCTCTCAGGCAGACCAACCACAGCTTTCACCCGGGGAAGAGAAGGTAGCTTGGCTAGCATGGCCCATGGCTCCTTCGACCATGGAAGAGCCACAAAAGGCCCACAGATGATAAAGCAGGCAGATGCTGCCCATGACCATACTGGGAAGATCTGAGGCTGTCACTGGAGTGAGACACAATTGTTCCCACCCATAGCTTCCTTCAAGACAAGTGCACAGAATCTGCTCTATCCTCTTACTCTGATGCATGCACGAAGCTCAGTGGTGGCATCAGCAAGTCTGCAAGTCCTGGAGAAAGTTAGTGGTATAACGTTTCCTAGAGCCCCACCTTCCAAAGTGCAGGCTGTCTAGCCTGCAGTCTCTCCTGTGGTCAGATCAGGCAGTGCTCCAGAAGAGGAAGAGCAAGAAAAAGAGTGAGAATCAGTGGGAAAAGCAGACTTCTTGGTGGTTGTCCAGATGGATATGGGGCCCTGGTCAGGGCCTAAAGTCTGGGATTAGAAGGGAAGGGTGAGGAAAGAGGAGGAGGTGCAAATGTTAGTAACATTAGCTGAAGCAGAGACGGCCGTACCGATCTCACACAGGTCCCCTCCGTAGCTGGGAAGGCATAAGCATGTGAAAGAGTCGATGGCATCCACGCAGGTGGCTCCATTCAGACAAGGGCTTGAGAGGCACTCATCAATGTCTGCAAGAAATCAAGGGCCACCATTAGGACTCCTGCCCGCAATTCCAGCCTCACAAGCACTGTGGCCTCCTTATGGGTAGCCAGCCCTGCTGCTGTCCAGAGCCTGGGGAGGGGAGTGGCTGGTTTTCCTGAGAACTGTTGCTGCTGCTGCTGCTGCCGCCATCTTGGAATGCTGAACCAAAGATTCTGACAGGGTTTTTCTTGGATGTGTGTGATTCTTGATTGACAAGCTTGGAGCCCTGAAGCCAGGTTTCTCAATGGGTTGAAGAGATATGGTACTTTTGAAGTCAAAAGATCCTCCAAAGTGTCTTCTTTTTTTTGGTGAATGTTTCAGGAAGCCATGGAGTCTGAACTATGAACACAGTGGTGAGCAAGGACACTGGAAGTTGGGTTCTTGAAGCTTGTTTAGGACTCTTTCTTTTCCTATTTTCCTCTGTAGCTCTGAGCTCAGGAAAAAGGACAAGGTGATGCAGTACCAGAATGAACAAACTAGAAATGGGGTCTGCAGAGTATAGATCCATGAGAAAATGGCCACTTGGGATATCCACATGAAACTCACTAGACTTCTTGGGTTGCAGACGCCTTCTTTGCTTTCACTAAAAAAAAAAAAAAAAAAAAAAAATCTCTTGTAAAAATGAAGCTGGTATCTTTTTCCTTGGGATAGGGACTAAAATCCTGCCCAATGTTTCCCTATTTAATCTTCCAGTTTAAGGCCACAGAAGGTGAATATCTCCAGTTAGTAAAGACTCTTCAGGACTCTTCTCTCCTGTGGCAAATGGTTTTGGTATGGTCTGGAAAGGCTCCATCCTGTGAATGGGAGGCAAGCATTTTGAAGCTGACCAGGTACTCAGTGAGTGGCTGCCTATCAGCCATTCAATTCTGAAATACAAGCAGGTGTCCATCAGCCTCTTCTTCTCAGGTCAGCTCTTCTTCCTTCTGTTTTTGTCCAAAGATGTTTTTCTGGTCAAACTTCTTTGTAGAACTTGTGCTGGTAAGTCATTGGCCTTTGCCTCAACCTTTCCTCAATTAGCCATGATGAGAATTGAATCTCTTAATATGGTCTTTCCGAACCTTTCTGAGAAAACAGAAGACACGAAGGAATTCTTCTTCTGTCTTTGTAGTCCAAAGCTCCTGCTATTTTTTATTTTTCTCCCTGGGTTTCCCTGACCGGGGACAAGATGAAGGTATTATGCAAATCCTCTTGCCAACACATCAATAAAATTCTGCAACAAGTGGTCTCCAGTGGCTTCTGGGGCACCATGTAGTTGGGAGATGCTAAGCCTTGGTATGTGCAGCTGGGTTCATGCAACCTCCAGGATCCAATGGCATGTTTATGTGTGGTATCCATGTGAGTAGCTAAGCCCTGGGCTGGGAATAGGACCTCTGAATCCTCAATATGTTCCAAGACTTCTTGCCTCCATTAAGAGCAAACAAGATCTTAAAGTCAATCCTCTGACATGAGAGAAAAGTATCTTCCTCTGGATCTTCAAGTTTGTGCATAATAGGCATCTTCTTGGCCAAAGTTGGGTTTGCGCAATGGGTGGCCTGAAAATCTCTGGTTCCCAGGTGTCTTGCTCATCCCGTGAAGCTCCTAATCTCTGTTTCTTGAGCATCTCTCTTGTCCCACAGAGTCCTTAACTTCACTTCAAGGAGTACACACCATAGATTAGAAACCAACAGTTCCAAGTTTGGAACTGTTCTGAGCAAACTCAAAATGCATGGAGGAACTGATTGAAATCCCAGCATGCACTTGGATTCCCAGCATGCACCAGGATTCCCAGCAGCAGCAGTAGCAGCAATAGGTCAGGTCAGTCAGCAGGGTGAAGCTGGGGCGGCTCTCCTGCTTCAGGAAAGCTGTGTTCTCTTTTGTCCATTAGCATCATTATGGGAAGTGGGCAGCACTGGGCAAGGGGAATGAAGCAAATGTAGGCGCTAAAGCAGTTGTACAGAGCAGGGGACAGGGATGGCTTCTTGGAGAAAAGCCAGACATCACTGGCTCCTGGTCAAAATCACTGAAGAAAGGGTGGCAAAGATGGGAGGCCCAGAAGTAGGTCAGGCCAGACAGCTTCCAGCTGCTCAGAGGCTTGGAGATTGTACCTTGTACTGCCCATCCCTAGGCTGTGTGAGCTTCAGGGCAGTGTTGTTTTCCCTGTGTTTGGCCAGGGCACCAAATCTGAGAAGTTTGCAAGGACAGATGGAACCAATTTCTGGAATCAGAAGCTTATTATTATTATTATTATTATTATTATTATTATTATTGTAGGAGGGTCAGAAGGGCCACAATTCTGAAGAGCAAAGAGCCTGTGGGTACCACTGGGGCAGTTTAGAGAGGCTGAGTCTGCATCTTCAGCTGTAGGGAGAGGGCTGATATCCTGTGTGTAGCTTTCTTATTAATCCCTCAGTCCTGGGCACCTCATCTCCTCTTTATCTGTCTGCAAGAGCCACTCTGGACCTGACTGTCCACCTCTTTCTGTGAAGGGCAGTTAAAGCATCTCTCAGCTTCTGGAACCAAGAGAGGAGTAGGACTGGGTCCAGTTGTGAGCCCAGATTGGGGGTGTCCCAGACAATGTGATAGAGGGGTATAGAGGGAGGAAAGGGCTTTGGGCAGTGGAAGACATCTTAAAGGAAGAGAGAAAAGGAGGAGAGTACCAAGATCTGCTAACAACCTTGTCTGAGCCAGATTCTCTGACACACACATGTTATTTTCCAAATGCCCAGTGGGTATAGACATGATGCTATTTATAGATAGGGAAACAAGTGAAGGCACTTGCTTATGCAGGCAAATAGGGGTGACAGATGAGAAGAGATGGGAGAGAGAGTAAGAAAATGAGACTGGATGATGGAGAGAGAGAGACACTGGGGTCCTGGGATCTTGGGACCTTGTTACCATTTCCTCTACAGCCACCCAATGTTCACTCATCATCACGGAGCAGGGAGTCTGAGTACTGTCAGGACTCTCTAACTTCTGTTACCACTACTAAAACTAAAAGGGATGGTTCAGACCTCAGCAGGGCCTTCCAGTGGTACCTCTAACTTAGGAGAGGAAAGAATTGGGAGCTCCCTTGTGAAGGCCAAAGTAATGGAGATACTTGGAAAGAATTCTTGGTGTCTGAATTGGAGATATCAGGCCTCCACTTTGTGTAGGTCTTGTCCACCTGGATCAGAGCCCAGGACCTCCAGGTGAGCTGGAGTTTATTTGACACATGAAGATGCTGAACAAAGAGGGACAAGTGATTTTACCCAAGTGATACTTGACTAAATGGTTTGCCACTCATAAAGACTACAATATGAATGGTACTCTTTATTCGGTATACAATCTGTGCAGCTGGATGCTTATCTTTCTAAGACAAGAGTGAACTTTTTTTTTCCCCCCAGGACATAATTTTCCAGGATAAGGATTGGGGGTGGGGATCCCCTCAAGAAGCATAGAGAAAATTGCTTAACTCAGTAGCTGCTGGGCACCATGCAAAAACCTAAGACCAATAAGGATGGGCAGACTTGAGTATAGATACTGACTTTCTTATTGGGTCTTTTATACTACTAAGGGAGGAATTATGAGGGTATTTTTGTCAGTCCCAATTTGCTTTTAAAATAAAAACCATTAAATTAAAAAATATACTACTATTATACTATTTAAAGTCTTTTATATTCTAAAGGTTGATTTTGAGTGCAATTTTAATATCCTGCTTAAATTCAATTAAGTTGCTTGTTAAGACCTGCCCATGGACTTTTTGTTTGAGTCAAGTCAAGAAGGTCTACTTTGAATTTTTAGATTTTATAGCCCTATATTTTTCAGTTTTGGTGAAAGTACTTCTTTCCCAGACATAAAGGTTTCACTGAAAGTTAAATGTATTCCCTAGAAGAAGAGACAGTGTCTGATCATAAATTAGAATTCCCAACCAAAAAGTGAACAATTTCAGTAAAATAGAAAAAAGACTGATTAAACTTTAATTTTGTATCTTTCTAAGCAAGAAATTAGGAGAAGCTCAGCAATGACTGAAAATCAGATGTGAGATCTGATTAGAACAGTGCTTTTTCAACATTTGTTGCACACTATAAATTAATGGGATAGTTAAAACAAATTTTTTTTTAATTTTTAATTTTTAATTTTTTAAATGCTAGTGCAGGAAGTCCTCTCCAGACCAACTGAATCAGAATATCTTAGGGAGAAGCCCAAGTATGATGCTTTTTAAAAGCACTCCCTTGATTTTAAACAGCAGCTGGGAAACCTAAGTCACTCCCCATAGATGTTATCAGTAATGCAGGTGAGGAAGATGATGATTTTTAAGTGGGTAAGAATAGAATAGTCCTACTTTTGATTGCTAAAGAATCTGAGCATTCATTAATCAGATATTTATTTTGAAGTAGAAAGTACTAATTAATAATTTATCAAGAATTTGTTTATGGAATACTGACTAAATAAGATGACAGTGATTCCCAAACATTTTTTTTCTTTTTCTTTTTTATATTGGAGATTGAAGCCAGGAGCACTTAACCACTGAGTTACATCCCCAGCCCTTTTTATTTTGAGACAGTCTTGTTAAGTTGTTGAATCTAGCCTGGAACTTGTGATCCTCTTGCCTCAGCCTCCTGAGTTGCTGGGATTACAGGCGTGTGCCACAATACCTGGTTCAAATGTTTCTTTTAGGAAAAAATACAGCCTCTAATTCCATTGCTGGGCAAACATCTCCCCTGAATATTAAATATTACCATACATTCCACAAAACATTGTATTTGGTTCCTGTTAGAAATCATGGTTTCTTTAACAACCTTTGGCTCCTGATTCTAGAGCAAGATGGTAGGTGGTTCATCCATGGAGACCAGACACCATCTACAGTCCTGGAAGAACTTGAACCTTGAGCTACATTGAACAGGAGTGACTGGGGACCCCAGGGCACAGGCCTGGGGAGTGACAGCCCAGGCTTGTGCTGCACTGATCCTCATCACCTGCTCTGTAGGGATGCTAAGGTTTCCCTAACTAGTGGCATGAGAGATAGTGAAGGGGAACCGATTTTTATTGAATGCCTCTTGGCTGATGTTATATTCAGGTGACCCGTACTGCAGTGTTCTCAGCCCTGGCTGCACATTGAAGTTACCTGGGAATTTAAAAGCCCCAATGCCAAAGGCCACAGGACCATTTCAATCAGAATCCATGGGTCTGGTCTGAGAACCACTATCATTGATTCCTGTTGTCAGATGAGGAAAGCAGGAGCTTGGCTGTGTGTGTTGATCAGACTGACTCTGATTCCACAGCCCTTTTCCATTCTGGCTCCCCAGATATCTGCCTTGAGATTTTTGTGACCAGCAACTTGTTGTTATTATTTATTTATTTGGTAGTGGGGATTGAACCCTGGGTACTTTACCACTGAGCTACATCCCCAGCTCCACTTTAAAAAATTTTTGTTTTGAGACAGAGTCTCCCTAAGTTGCTTGGGACCTTGCTAAATTGCTGAGGCTGGCCTTGAGATTCTCCTGCTTCAGCCTCCCGAGTTCTGGGATTACAAGCATGTGCCATTATGCCCAGCAACTTGTTATTATTTTTATAAGAGGCGGTTTCTAATTTAGCCCAGTGTGCTAAAAAAGTGAACTCAGACCTTGATCCTTGATTCAACTCATATAGTGGATTCAGGCAAATGAATTAACCTCTCTTCTTTCCAGTTTCAAATAGGAATAATTACCAACCTGCTCATAGAGCTGTTGGGGAAGAAATCTTGGGAGAGCCCTGAGGAAATATGCAAGATCAGAGAAAGGCTGCCCTTACAATAGAGTAGTTAAGTTCTACTGTCATCTGATTTTACTAACTTCAGGGCTGCTGAGGACAGGAGCCTTGCTTGACTTCTGATACTAGTGTCACATTTTTGCCTCAAGTATCAGGTTTGGGAAGGAATGGCTAGGCACGTTGGTGCATGCCTGTAATCCTAGCTATTCAGGAGGCTGAGACAGGAGGATTGTAAGTTTAAGGCCAGCCATCCTCAGCAACTTAGCGAGCTCTTGTCTCAAAGTACAAAATTAAGAGCTTCCCCCTGGAAAAAAAAAAGGGTTGGGGATGTAGCTCAATGGTGGAAAGTAGCTGAGTTCTGTCCCCAGTAACTGCCCCCTGACCACAAGAATAGAGTCATCCCCAGTTTGAGACATTTGGCTACAGTTCCTGGGGTCACTATAGCCCATGAAAAAATTATCCCTTGGGCAGTAAGGAGAGCTCACCCGCTCTGGTCTTGGAGGCCCAGAGTGTCCTTAGTTTCTAGACCTGACTTGTGGGCAGAGACTGACCCCAGAGGGGGAAAGAACAGATGTTATCTGCCCTAATGCTTGTACATATTTACTGTAGAAGTGCCAGCCACACAGTACATACGAGTATCTAATATACAGTGATATGTTAATTTTCACATATAGTCACATATCCAGACTCAGAGCCTTTGGGGATGATGTAAAGGCTGTTGGGTGCTAGGTGCCTGGCAGGATTTGCCTGACAAACCTGGAAGTGGTTGTTTTTTGCCCCTGGAATTCCCTTCTCCAATTTTGTGCATGTCCTAGGAATAAAGCCCTTTTGTGAAAGACCCTGACTACAGAGAGAAGCTAGGAACAAGGGCACTGGGTCGTGGAAAGAGCTAACCCAAGCACAGGAGCTTGGCGGTAACTGGGTACCTCTTTAATGTTGAAGAGATAAGATGTCATCGTGGCCTCGGGCCTTGGATGTGTCCACAGAATGACAGGTGGATTCTAACCACCTCCAATCAGAGGAGCCCCAGGTTCCTTACCCGTCCCACAGGCTGCTTGACCATGGCAATGAACCATCAGAGCTTCCAGGGCAGTAGGTGCCCGTGGGAAACACACTGCTGGGGTGACAAGCACTGTATTATTTCCTTCAGGACAGGAAGGGGACCCAGATGCCATCCAGACCCAAACACTAGGGAGCCACAGAGGCTTAATCCAGGAGCTCACCCTGCATGATACAAAACAGCCCCCTTGAAAGACAGAGGGACGCGTCCGGGGGTACCAATACTCACCCCAAGTTCAACATTTCTTGGAGGGCTCTTTTTTATCTTCAAATTTCAAGCACTCATAGAGTAGCCTTTGGCCCGATAGGAAACAAACTACTTGCTTGCCTAATTATTTAGCTTGATTTTTTTTCTCCTAAACCGTCTTTTCCACTAGATGCTCTGGGACGCTGTGTTTGTGAGGCTGTGACCCCTGACACTCTGCTGCTGCAGACCTCTCCTTCCTAGTCTGCAAAGCCTGAGCCACAGTTGATCCTGCTCATCTCCTCTTGCCTGTGGCCCCTTCTGGGGACGAAGGAGTCAGTCTATCCAGTGTCCCTACCCACACCCCCATACCCCACAAGGCTCTTACCTATGTCACAGTGCTCGCCAGTGTGGCCAGGGGGGCAAAAACATATGACACGTCCCTCTGTCTCCTGGCAGGTTCCAACGCCACAGGGCTCCTCTGCACAGGACCTAGCAGGGGCTTCAACCCCAGGGAAGAGGCTGAGTATCAAGAACACAGCCACCTGGGGCCAATGCAGTCTCCAAGACTGTGCAGTTGGGTCATGAGATCCCTGAACTCCAGGAGGGTGGCTTTTGGGTCAGCTTGTTTCTGGGCACTTGGCCCCAGCGTCTGGGGGTGGGGACTCTTTTGCTGACTGTGAACACTCTCTTAGCCCCGTGGGAGGGGCAAGGAATCCCCAAACAAAAAGCAAAGAGAGAGCAGCTACTTGCCAGGTGCCCGGTTCCTAGGACTGTGTGGAGGTGAGGCAATCACAGTCATCTAGAGAGTCCCTTCCTGGGGTGGGTGAGGACTCAGAGTCTAAAGTTGGGACATGGACAAAGTAGCACTTCATAGTTCCCTAAATTAGGCAGGTTTTAGTCTTACACAAAACACATAATGAGACATAAAAATGTCATCAGCAGATTCACTCTCTTCTCTCACACTCACCCTGGGGCATGATGCATGAACAGAATTTCCAGGACTTTCTAAATCGCCCTTTTTTTCCTCTGTGCCAAGTACACACAGCTGAATTCACACATAAATGCTCATGTGATGTAACTCCACTGTTAGGGTAATAGTCACTAATCTTTGTGAGGGTGTATTGTGTGCAAAATATAATGCTTGCTTTATCTATATTTATATTCTGTTTAGTTTTCTTGGTACTATTCTCATTTTATAGAAGGAAAGCTCAGAGAAGTTAAAACTCTTGCCTGAGGCTGCACAGCTAATCTGTGGTGGAACTGTGCTTGGAAACTTAAAGCTCCACAGTGTCTTTCTACAGTACAGCTGTCCAGACACATTTAAAGGACGAAAAACAACAATACCTGAAACGGTGGACTCTGATTCTCCCGATCCCTCTGGGGAAGCTGGGATGGAAGCATCTGTTGGGGAGGTGGCTGTTCCAGCCGTTTGGGTCTCTTCTCTTGAGAACAAGGGACTTGAGGACTCGATTTCTAGATGTGCCTCTGCAGGGCGCTGGGTCTGCTGGTTCCATTCAGATTCTGGGAGGCTGGTGCTGATGACAATATCCATCCCTGAGGTCTGACCAGACAGGTCTCCACTGATTTCAGTCCTGTCCCCAGAGGTCACAGGAGTGGCTGAAGGCATGCCGGATACCTCTGTGCCCACATCATAGGTGATGGTTGACTCTCTGGTCACTTCGGGAGCAGCAGACCCCTCCACGGAACCTTCCTGAAAAGCCCAAGGGCTGCTGCTCACCCCCAGGCCCGAGGCGTTCTTGAGGTCAGCTTCGTGCAAGGCAGAGGTGGTTTCCTGCAGAGTAGAGGCCCCAGACACCTCTCCGTTGGCCTCTGGGGCAGCAGATGTTCCCACTTCAGCCTCAGGATAGGCAGACAATTCACTGCTGGCTTCTGGGTCTGATGATGCTTCTACTCCAGAACTGGGGAACGTTGGTGTAGCCCCACTCATGTCCCCAGAGGCAGAGGCTTCCCCACTGGCCTCAAAAAGCTGGGGTGTATATGTCACAGGGGATCTTTGGCCAAGTTCCTGGGAAACAACAGTTGGTTTGGTTACACCCTCCACGAACTCAGAAGTGATTAAAGTAACTTCTGGAAGACCCGAGGCCTCTCCACTCGTGCTTGTGGCTGCAGAGGATTCTCCGCTTATTTCAGTGGTGCTTGAAAAGTCCCCACTGAAATATGGAGTGCTTGATGGCTCTCCGCTGGGTTCCACCATCCCAGATTGCAGTCCACTTAGGTCCAAAGATCCAGAATGGTCTCCAGACATGTCTGGTGTTCCAGAATGGGTACCACTGAGTTCCAAAATGCCTGAAGGTCCTTCTCCAGCTTCTTGGGCTGTTGGAGTCTGGGTTACAGATTCCACCAAAGTTCTGTCTATGAGAGAGACAGTTGGGAAACCTGATGGAAGTCCACTGCTGTCATATCCTCCTGAAGACAGGTTGCTCCCCATCTCAGCTCCAGAAGTTTCTCCACTGACCTCAGTCACTCCACTTGGTAGGCCACTGAATTCTGGAACTGGGGATGTAAACCCACTGGAATCGATTATTCCAGAAGATTGTCCACTGACATCCACTACCCCAGATGTGCCTGACAGATCTGTCTCCCCAGAAGGGAGACCACTGAGTTCCACTGACCCTAAGCCTTCTTCTTCTTTAAATGTAGTAGGGGTCACTTCAACCAAACTCGTGTCCACAAATGTAATTCCAGAAGATTCCCCACTGCCACTCATGGTGCCAGAAACCAGGTCCGGGATTCTGGGTGTTATTCCTGATGGCTGCCCACTGAGATCAGGAACCCCAGATGTTTCTCCACTCTGGTCAGTTATACCGAATGGTGGGATGCTGCCAAAAAGAACTCCAGATGCTTCTCCACTGACATCTGGTTGTCCAGAAGATAGTCCGCTAAGCTCAGTCACTCCAGATGTTTCCCCACTTGTGTAAGGAAACCCTGATGGCTGCCCACTGACCTCGGAAATGCCAGATGTTCCCCCACTGATGTCAGGAAACCCAGATGGCTGTCCACTAACATCAAATAATCCAGATGTTTCTCCACTGATGTCAGGAGATCCAGATGTTTGACCACTGAGTTCAATTCCTGAAGGGAGTCCACTTTCTCCCCCGCTAATGTCCAGTTCACTGAAGGGCAGCCCAGATATTTCTCCTGCACCACTGATGCCAATGGTTCCCCTCCCTTCCAGTTCACTTGCAGTGGAGGCTGTGACCACTTCTACCAATGTAGTATCCACTAGAGAAACAGTTGGAAATCCAGATGGAAGTCCACTAAAGTCAGGCAGGCCAGAGGATGGGCCACTTCCAAAGTCCACTCCAGAATACTCACCACTAAATCCAGAGGGAAGGCCACTTTCTTCTGGAACTTGTCCACTTCCTACAGTTCCAGAAGGCAGCTTTTCAAAGACCAAGGTTCCAGAAGCAGACCCTACCAAATCTTCTGTTCCAGAAGGTAATCCTTCTGAGGTTTCTTCAGTTCCCGAAGTTGAGGTCTCTAGACCTTCCCTTCCAGAAGGAAGTCCACTGAGATCTTCTCCTACTCCAGAACCAGAAATCTCTATACCTTCTCTTCCAGAAGGAAGTCCACCACTAAGTTCATCATCTGTGCCAGAGGCAGAAATGTCTAGACCTTCTCTTCCAGTAGGAAGCCTGCTGACATCCCCTACTCCAGAGGCAGAAGTCTCTAGAACTTCTCCTCCAGAAGAAAGCCCACTGATGTCCTCTACTCCAGAGGTAGAAGTCTCTAGACCTCCTATTCCAGAAGGAAGCCCACTGATGTCCTCCACTCCAGAGGCAGAGGTCTCTAGACCTTCTTTTTCTGTAGGAATCCCACTGACGTCCTCTACTCGAGAGGTAGAAGTCTCTAGGCCTTCACCTTCAGTAGGAAGCCCACTGACCTCCTCTACTCCAGAGGCAGAAGTTTCTAGACCTTCTCTTTCAGTAGGAAGCACACTGACCTCCTCTACTCCAGAGGCAGAAGTCTCTAGAACTTCTCCTCCAGAAGGAAGCCCACTGAGGTCCTCTACTCCAGAGGCAGAAGTCTCTAGACCTTCACTTCCAGTATGAAGCCCACTGAGGTCCTCTACTCCAGAGGTAGAAGTCTCTAGGCCTTCACTTTCAGTAGGAAGCCCACTGCCCTCCTCTACTCCAGAGGCAGAAGTCTCTAGACCTTCTCCTCCTGAAGGAAGCCCACTGATATCTTCTACTCCTGAGGCAGAAGTCTCTTGACTTTGTTTTTCAGTAGGAAGCCCACTGAGGTCCTCGACTCCAGAGGCAGAAGTCTCTAGACCTTCTCTTCCTGAAGGAAGTCCACTGAGATCCCCTACTCCAGAGGCAGAAGTCTCTAGAACTTCCTCCCCAGAAGGAAGCCTGCTGAGGTCCCCTATTCCAGAGGCAGAGCCCTCTAAGCCCTCACCTTCAGAGGGTAGCCCACTAACCTTAGGAGTGGTAGGCCACTCAATTTTACCTTCATCTCCTGAGGACAGTCCACTTTCCACAGGCAGGCCTGAGCCCACTGTGGAGGTGATACTACTGGAATCAAGGTCTCCAGAGGGCAGTCCACTTGCACTGACCCCTGAGGGCTGCCCACTGGTGTCAAGGCGTCCTGAAGCTTCTCCACTGCCTGTGAAGTCACCGCTGGTGTCAGGGGCTCCAGATACTTCCCCAGAGCCTGGCAGTTCCATCCCACTTGGCATGACATGGGCAGGTGTGTAGGTCTCCTCCGAGGTGAAAGGCTCTTCCGGGGCAGAGGGCACTGCAGTTGCAGAAGGGCCTTCTGTGCTTTCCTCTGTTGCTGCACTAGTGGGAGGCCATGTGGGAGGGATTTCTGGAGGAGAGGAGGAAACAAGGTGAGGTGTGGGCTTAGTAACTCTGAAACTGAACTCTAGTCCTTCCACAGTAAAACCTTCCTCCCCAGATTTCAGAAATCCTTAAGGGTCTTGGAAAGGGGAGTAGGAAGGAAAGACAAGAGAGGGAAGGAAGCAGGGAGAAGCAGGGGCACAAGGAAGCTCCCACACTACCCTCAGGGACCCAGGCCTTCATATCCTGTGTTTTGTGAGACTGTAGAGGTTGCCACCCACACAAACCGTTGGATATGTGGGCCATCACTGAAGATGGCCAAGGTCACCCTTCAAGTACTTCCACTTTATCATCTCATGTAATTTTGATCCCTGGACCAGCAGCACCAGCATCCTCTGGGGACCTGATAGAGAAGCAAATTCCCAGACCCTAGCCCAGCCTGGCTGACAGAGGCTCTGGGGTGGGCCCAGCTCATCATGTCCACAAGATGGGACATGAGGACTACAGAATGAGGAACCCTGATCTCAATGCTTCCCTCTGAAGCTGCAGAGCTGGTGTAGTGCTATTTGTAAAAACACATTCCCTTTTCAATTCTGAGATCTCCATTACAAAGGATTTGAAAAACAGAAAAGAAAAAACCCTCACCATCCTAAATAATCATGGTTACATTCTTTTCTTTCAGTCTTATATTCTTTGCCATTTAAAAACAAAATAGTAGGGCTGGGGCTGGGGCTCTGCAGTAGCGCACTTGCCTAGCACGTATGAGGCATTGGGTTCAATTCTCAGCACCACATATAAATTAAAAAAAAAAAAGGTCTATCAACAACTAAAAAAATAAAAATAAAAACAACATAGCTAGGTTTGAACCTTATACATGCTTCTGGGGAAAGATGCATCTGGTCCTCTGGGTAGGCTCACAGTCCCCTCTTTCTCAGAAGAGAACTTTGGAGGGCGTGGGTAGTGAAGTACAGTAGCATACTGGATGATTACAGGTAGGACCCAGAAAAAGTTCTATTTTGATTTACACACACACACACACACACACACACAATATACATATCTCAGAAACCACTGGCATGACCATTTGCAGTCATAATATAACATTTCTCTTTTAAATACATTTAGGTGTCATTTTAAAAAGCAAGTCAATTGAAAGAAAAAGTCGTGGCATGAACAATAGTACAGACAGTCCCAGATATGGCTGAAATCAGCAAGGTGGTCAGGAACTGAAGTTAAACTTATCTACAAGACTGCTGGAGCACTTTCCCATGGATAACTTCCCATGAATAGTGGCCAGAGTCCTGGGCCAAGCCACACCCTCCGGCCCAAGAGGACCCAGCTATTCTTTTCCTGGTGAGGGGCAAGGAAAGGGCCATAGGCAGGTGTGGCTGTTGGGTAAAGTCTTGAGGCCAGAATCCCACCTAGAGTTGAATCCTCATCTTTTGGCATGGAGGGAACCAATTTTGCATTTTCAGCCTCCAGAGAAGCGCCCAGCTCTGCCAAACTGCTGAGGACCCATGAGGAGAATGAGTGGCTGAATGAACTATTGGGAAGCTCTGAAGGTCTTTTCTTCAGATGCACCAGTCCCTGTGGAGCCGACTGCACTAGGCACACACATGGTGTAGACCACTTCAATTCGTGTTCCAGTGCTGTGAGCCACTAGATGTTAACAAGCTTCCATGAAAATAAATAAAGTCTCTGTGATCAGGTTTACTTGTGACACCCTGCATACATCACCTCTTCTCTGAGAATGACAGTGCACCTTAGCTTATCAAAGACTTGAGAGGGTTGGCAGCGAGGAAAGCTGTTAGTCTTTCAGTAAGCCAGGACTTCCCAAACCTTGGTGACCACAAAACACTTCTGACAAGGTTTTGGGATTGTTACTTTCATCCTACTAAGTCCCATCTGATTTCAGAGTTTAGGAAGTCTTGGCTGGGGAGGCCTGATCCAGAGGAGGGACATGGAAGGAGGAGAAAGTCGAGTAGAGAGGTCACAGTCAGACCTGCAGTAGTTACCCTCTCCTTTGTTCTTTCTCCCCTATTGGAAATCCTTCTAAAGGATCTAAAGATGGAAAAGGTTAGGGTAGGAGTGTCCATGCAAGAGGACAGAATGAACAGAATGACTGAGAGTCTTCTGATGGGCCCAGAGCTGGGCACTGGGGATGTCTGCAGGAGAAATAAAGGAAAGAGTACAGTGGACATGTGTGTGGGGTGTTTTATACACAGGCCTTGTTGTCACTCCGGGGCATGTCCTAGGAACCCAGGTCCCAGGGGGAAGTAACCGCCCCCCTGCCCCCAGGCACAACCCAGGCAGATAGGGATGTGCAACTGCAGGATGTGCCCTGAGCACACCCACACGGACCTGGCAGTGGGGATGTGCCCACTGGGGTGTAGGCTGGTTCCCATTCTGTCTGATTTTCTGGCTCTGTGGTGAAGTCTGGGACTGCAGTTGTCTCCTCTCCTATGGGGACAGCAGCCACACCAGGTCCCACTTGGGTAATGATCCAGTCCTCCACGTCAGTGGGTGCTGTGGGAGTTCTGACCTCCTCTTCTCCTGGAGAGGTCACCATTGATGCACCTGAAGAGAACGTGGGTGATGAGGGTCCCCTGCTGGCCAGTGACCCATCCCAAACCCTTGAGAGGAGTTAGGGGAAATTGAGGTGGATCAGCTGGCGTGAGAGCCTTACTGGCCACCCAGCCTTCAGTTCTGCAAGATGGCTCCTGCCGTCTCAGCTAGTAAGAGCCAGGTGTACCATGTATAATCGCACACACCCATCGGTGGTCTAGATCAGAGTGGAACAGATTCTACTCCCCTTTTTACAAACGAAACTCAGAGTTATATTTCTTGCCTAGGGTCAGTGACTTAGAAGTGGCAAATAGAATCCAAGCATCTGGTATTAGACCATGCTGCTTCTAATGGGGAGAGACATTATGTCCCAAGTGTTTCAGGACCAAGAACAGGAAGGAGACGTTTAAATTTCATGCAGCCAACCTAGTATTTGGAGGAGGGAAGAAAATATTCATCAACTGTGAGGGAAACTCTTATGGTTTGGGGGAAACCAGCAGATTGGGGAAGTGTAGGAAGGAAATTCAACTTCTCTGCAGGAGAATATAAAAGGCCAAGTCCACTGAGGGTCAGGGGTCAGGGGGGAAGGGTTTATGGCTGGGAATTTACTGGAAAACCAACTGGCTTGGCTTCTGTTACCCAGTAGAGACAGGTCCTGGGCCAAGAGCCTCATGAGCTCCGGGGAGAGGACTGGTGTTCTTGAACCTGACCCCATGGGGGCTCTTATGGTTTGGGTATGAAATGTCCCCCTCAGGCTCATGTGTTGAAGGTGTGGTTCCCACTGCAGCAACATTCAGATCCAAGTGATTGGATCACAAGGGCTCTGACCTCATCAATGGATCACCCCACTGATCAGTTCAACACTGGACTACTGGGAGGTGTGGAAACTGTAGGAGGTGGGGTCTGGTTGGAGGACGGAGGCCACTGGGGGGCACGCCTTGGAAAGGCATTGTTGTCCCTGGCCCCTTTCCTGCTTTCTGTTTCTCGGTTTCCATGAGGTGAGCCCTTCTGCCATGATGTTCTGCCTCACCACAGGCCCAGAACAGTGGAGCCAGCTGACCAGGGTCTGAAACTATGAGCCAAAATAAATCTTTCCTCCTTCAAGTTGGTTTTCTCAGATACTTTGTCACAGCAAAGGAAAGCTGACTAACACAGAAAATTCCAGTGGTTCTTAGGCCTCTGTTGCTTGGCCCCACTGCTGTGGCTTGTGGTGAGGTGGAAATGACATGGCAGGGAGGGTGTGGCAGAGCAAAGCTGCTTACCTCACAGCAGTCAGGAGGTGGGCAGTGGGGAGGGGCCTGGGTTCCCAATATACTCTTCAAAGTCACATCTCCAGTGATCGACTTCCTCCAACTGGGCCCCACTATCTAAAATTTCCACTACCTCTCAATAGGACCACCACCTGGAGACTAAGCCTCCAATACATGGTTCTTTGGGAGACATCCACACTACAAAAGAGGCTGAAATTTGAATAGGATTTTAAAACTTGGGGCCTCTTTTTTTTCCCCTTAATTTTATTTGGGAATAAAATTTATAGAGCCACAGGAAGTTGCAAAGACCCTCAATTTGCATATTATGGAAAATATGACCCAAGCTCTTCTATAATCTACATCTGGTCAGTGCACCTAGACCCTACATTAACACTGTGAGAGCTCATCCAATCAGAGCCCAGCAATGTGCTTGGCCACACCCTGGCCATCAACTGTTCCTTGATACCCTTTTTAGAAATCTAATTGTTAATGATGGATATGGCAGTGTGTCCACAGCATGGGTTAATTAGAAATGTGAATTACTGGTGCTTAATAAAGAATAATGGAATTATTTGATTAACCTCATCACAAAAATAATTACAAGAAGGAGAGAATTTGACAAGAGTGTACAAATTAAAAAAAATTCATGTATATTTTTAAGTGCATTGCATGCACTATCCCAGCTAATATTCATATGCAATGCTCTTTGAAGCAGAAATTATTTTATCACCATTTTTAGGTGAAGCAGAGAAAAGGAGAGGTTAAGTCACTTACCCATGGTCACACAGCTATTAAATGGCAGAGCCATAATTGAAATTCAGGTTTGCTGTATTTTACAGTCAAAGTTCCTTATCTACTTTGCTTTGCCTCTGGGGAAACTTAGAAAAATGGCCTTGTCTTGGGGTCAAAGCCTAAAGTCAGCTAACTTTAGAGTTGTCCCTGTCCCAACAGGATGTTTTCCTCCTTGCTCTGATGGGAGATTGATGGAGAGGGGTCAGGAGCGCCAGCCTCGGGGAGTCACCAGGAGGCAGAATGGGACGCTGGACGAGAGGTAAGGGCTCATACCTTGGAAGCAGAAAGCGTGGTGCCGGGACAGTGGGTCTGGAAGGCCCGTCTGGTTGGGATAGAGGTAGACAGTTCTCACTCCTGGCTTGTCCCCGCCGCAGGCTGGCCGAGGGGTGACGATGGGGTAGCGGAGGCTGCCGTCCGCCAGCCAGCCGGCATAGCACTTGTCCAGGCCTCGGCTCCAGGCGGCATAGAGCTGGCCGGTGGAGGCTAGTGTGGCGTTTTGCGACTGGCAGAACTCCAGGGCCTCCTGGAAGGTGAACTGCTCCAGGCGTGTGGCGAAGAATACCTCCCCTGCCGGGGAAGCAGGTGGAGTGTGACCCTCCAGGCCCACGGCCGCTCCCTGCCATCCCAATCCTGCTTGTGAGGATGGACACCCGCCACGGATCACACCCCTTAGATCTCATAAGACACCGGAACTAGAGTGACCAACTGCTCTGGTTTGTGACCGAGGGGACTGGGATTTCCTGGGACTTTATGAGATTTCTATGGGAAGGCAATGTCACAGCAGAGCTGGGTGGAGCAGGTCATTCCACAGGGAAGGGGCTTCTACTCTCCCTCCTTTCTGGCTTCTCCAGTCACACCAGGGACCCCCTGCCCTAGCTAAGGGGAGCGGCTTACTGGATACTGATTCCTGTGGACCCGCCCACCCCAGCCACACCTAGCTGCCTATATAGTTCTGGAGGATTTACCCAGCACCTACCTGGGCAATCAATTTTTCATATATGTTTTATTCAATACTCAAAAAAGCGTCTTATGTGGGTAAAAAACCAACCTCATTATAGACAAGGAGTGTCCAGGGTCCTGGATCAAGTGAGTACTAATGCTGAAAATTTTCCAGAACATCAGCATTTCTACAATTGGTTCCAGTGGAATAGTAATTTGGTGATGTTCATTGAGATTAAATAAAATGAAATAAAGCAAAATAAAGGTCTGTGGTTGAATAAGCTTGGCAATGCTGGGTTAGACAGGGTTAAGGAGGTTTTCCACTGTGGGAGTTCTCAGAGCCTTTGTTTCATTCATGGGCATTGGGACTCTATAAGAGGCCAATATAATACTTATTTATCTAATATAAATATATAATCCAATATAAATATATAATATAAATGTATTTATCTAATATAAATATGTAACACTTATTTATCTAATATTATTATCTGTGAGCACCCAGGGGTGCTCTGCCTCTGAGCTACATCCCCAACCCCTTTTGTTTTATCTTGAGACAGGGTCTGGCTAAGTTCCCCAGGCTGGCCTCAAATTTGTAATCCTTCTTCTTTAGCCTCCCAAGTGGCTGGGGATACTATGACCTTCATGGCATTTATTTATAACAAGTTAATTTATGTATTCATAGAACTCATTGTGTTTTAAAGGAGTGAATGCTGGGGAAACCACATGCACCATTGAGGAGGGAAAGAGGGACTTGCACTGAGAGGGGTGTGCCATCTTGAACAGAATCCTTTCCACCTGGAAGGCTGAGTGGGAATGGGGTGAGTGGGTAGCAATTCCCCCTCCCCTTTGTGTCTGTCTCTCAGTCCCCTGCCCATCTAGGGCCCCGAATGTGAGAATGTAGCCTGTACCCTCGAGCTTGTCCACGTAGCAGTAGACATCATAGGTTTCTGATGATGGGCGCACACCGTAGCTCCTGACCCCAGGGCTGCTGTCCTTGTCGCCCACACATGGGGTCCGTGGGCTCACAATGGGGTATCTGCAAATGAAGGGAGGATGAGAGCCTGTTTTGGGAGCTGGGGTTCAGGGTCACTCTGATGTAGGCAGGACGTGTCTTGGGGTGTCTCATGGGCTGAAACCAGGAGCCACCTCTCATGTAGCAGGTTTGCTGAGCAGCTGGGGGAAGGGTACGGGAATCTCTGACATCAGAAGAGAAGCTGCTACATAGAAGGACACTGGGTCAAACTGGAGGGAACTGGGGAGGGGGATGCTTGAGAAGGGGATCCTCAAGAACAGGGGCTCTCTCTGTCTCTTGGGGTGAATGTCCCCTGCCTGGCAATTCAGGCTGAAATCCCACTTGATGGGATTAAGGATCTGGTGGTGGCTGCAGTGTCTTTCTGTCTCTCTCACAGGTGTGGGCACCACCAGAGTGTCCTTTCTGTTCATGGACCTGATTCCATGAACAGGAACTTATCACCATCCTTCCAGAATATGCCTAGGGGAGAAAATATGCCTAGGGAGTGACTAAGTAATTAGCATTGGAGGTTCTGGAGGGTGCCCACTGTGCTGAGTGTCCTGCCGGATGTGGCTCCTTAGGCCAGACCTCTTGAGGCTGCTAGACTGGGAGAGAGGTGGTCCTGTCTCGGTTGGCTCCGCCCTGCCCATCCTCGCCCCGCCCCGCCCCGCCCTGCACCTGACGGTCTGGTCCTGCAGCCAGCCAGCATCACATTGCTCGTAGCCCGCCTCATAGGCGGCCTGGAGCTGCTCGGGTGAAGCTATGACCGCCCCGGTGCGTAGACAGGCCTGCTGCGCCTCCTCAAAGGTCAGAGAGTATCGGGTGGATCCTGGGCGGTAGTGGAACACGACTCCTGGGTGGTGAAGAAGGAGAGGAGAGGGTCAGATGCCCTAGGCCCATTCCAAGCCCAGCTCCTCCATTCTGATATGTTGGATTGGCACTGTGGATGTGATGGCGGATGGCAGGGTCCATTTGCCAGTCCCCTGGGTAGGGACATCACCAGAAGGGCCTTCCTTTAGGGACTAGAGTTTGGGGAGCAGCTGGGCTCTCTGCTTTATGACATCCCAATTCCTCAAACATTCACTAAGCACGTGGAGCACCATCAGTCTGGCACAGGACTGGAAGCATGTTCTGGAAAGGGCCAGGTAGTCAATACTTCAGGCATTGTGGGCCATATGGTTTCTGTTACTCAGTTCAGCTGTGATTGTCCTAGTTAGCCATCAACAGCACATTGACAAATGGCTATGGCTTAGTTCCAATCAAACTTCACTTCTGAATGTTGAAATTTGAATTTGATATAATTTTCAATCATCACAAAATATTCTTCTTTTGACTCCCTCCACCTCAACTATTTAGGGAGTAAATGTTATTCTTAGTTCATGGGGCTTATAAGAGCAGCAGGATTTGGCCCATTGACCAGTTTGCGGATCATTGTCATGGCAGAGAGGACAAGACCAGGAGGGGCCTCAGGGTCACCAAGTGCAGGATTTCTAAGGGGGCCTCTGCTGTGGAGTACTTGATGGGCAGGGGCCCCAGTGCTCCACTCCACTTTCATTAGGGCCATGTGGCACTTTTATCTGTTTGACATATAACCCTGTTTTACACATATGACTTCCTTTGAAGCAAGTGATTTGTGGCAAAGAGTGGACTTGACTGATCTGCTCTAACCTCTTTGAGACCAAGAGAGAAAAGCTTGAGAGGACAGAGGATGTCCCAGGTCCCAGGTTAAGTTGAAAGGGTATTGGGGTGGGCTTCCAGGCCAAGTTCCTTCTGCTTGCCCTTGAGCCTCCCCCGGAACAGGTGGGTACTTACCCCCTGGCAAACGGGGCTGCCCAGGGACCTCGGCTTCACCAGGGGCAACAGTCACCTGCACCACCAAATCCTCGCTGGTGAAGGCCGTGACAGAGCCCAGCCCAGATGTGGCCTCCTCAGGAAAGTCCCAGGGCCTGGTGGCCTCTCCAGTCCCATTCTCTGTCTCGGGGAAGGCGGTGGCTCCCACATCAGGGACAAATGTGAAGGGCTCCTCAGGCTCCAGGACAGTGGGGGATACGTTCAGGATGGGCTTTACAGTGAGGATCACGTTGCCTCGGGCTTCCCCCTCCGTGATGTTTTGGGGCAGGGGCAGCTCCACATCGGGCCAGGTCACTGTCCGGATGGTGATGTCTTCCTCACCACCTACCCCGAAGAAATTTTCTGGGATGTCCACAAAGTCTTCACCTGGGATGGAGGCAAAGATGAGCTTTAACTGCTCAGCCTGGCTTGAGAGGGATGAGAGATGAGCTTCGCTTCCCTCCTGGGAAGGAGAGTACCTGCAGGATGCCAGGCACCTTGTGCAGCACATGGCAGGGGCATCAGCTCTCTGACTACAGTCCATCCCTTGGTATCCATGGGAATTTCTTTCAGAACTTCCCATATGTACCGAAACCTGCAGATGCTCAAGTCCTTTATATAAAATGCATACTGTTTGTATATAACCTATACACATCCTCTGTACACTTTAAATCTAGCTTATTTATAATCCTTAATACAGTGTAAAGGCTATGTAAATGATGGTTTTACTGTATTATTTAGGGAATAAAGACAAGAAAAATGTCAGCACATGTTCAGAACAGATGCAATATACCTGTCCCATTTTTTTTTTCAATCTGAGGTTTTTTTCAATGTGCGGATACCCATGGATACTTGCAAGATAATGACCTGCCAGCTTACTTTTCATAAAATCAGCTCCCACCAGGACATCCCTTCCTATTCATCAGCAGTTGCCATATTGTCCATCTGTGACTACCCACTGAGTGTCCACTGGGACATTATATGTCAGTTGTGAAGGAAAAATATAAAAATCTTGCAGAAGGTGAGATCAGGAAATTGATGAAGGTGGTGCTGGGGAATTGCCTGCCTTGGCACAGACAAATAAGGGGTTTTCAGAAAGAAGCCAGTTAGTTAATAAAGAGAAAATTCACAATACTTCCAGAGAGTGAATAGACTATCAAAAAGATAAGAAAAGCTTTGCTTGGGGGGGGTGTAATATGAATTATTTTTGCAAAACTACCCTCTTTGTGTTAGATCAGGCTATGGAAGTGAAATATGAACTGAGTTGTCATTTAATTCTGTTGTAAAATTGATACAGCTCCTCACCCATATTATTCATTTCTTTTCTCCAACAATTAGCAGTTAATTATAATTACAACCTAACGCGTGTTCAATAAAATAAAAACTTATTTTAATCTATTTTTTAAAAATGACGTCTCCTTGTCCAATGTTTTCCTACTTTCATTAACACTTTTCCTTTTAAGTGCAGTTTAAAAGGGCAGATAACAGCGCCCTCCTGTGGGATCATGGCCTCATAACAGGCCCCCATCATCTTTGACGGGGTATCACCATCTCCCCATTAGAAAGGTGAGATTGAGGCTCAGAGGGAGAGTCAGGGCCTTGTCTCTCGCAGGGTTGTGCAATAGTAGTTGGTAGAGCTGTGATTCAAACCCGAGAAAACGCAGAGTCTAACGCACTTGTTTTTATCTCTGTTCCGCGCAGATCTGATGAGAAAGGACTGGAGACACTGCAGCCTTCAGTGTCTCCACCTTCAAAACTAGTGAAAGGGGGCATAAGGGTGGCAAAAGCTTGGAGTTCAAGTACCCAGGGGCATTTTCAAGGAGTAAAACCCAGCCCTCACTTTCCAAGATCTTCTCTTTGGTGGCGCAACTCCCCTTCCCGCTCCCAGTCCCAGCCCCACCTGTATAGCAGATGGCGTCGTAGCGGGATGAGGGGTCGGGGTAGCCCGTCTGATTGGCATGTAGGTAGACGGTCCTCACACCCAGGAGGTTGCCCCCGCAGTTGGGCCGGGCCTTGGAGATGGGGTAGCGCACGCTGCGGTCGGCCAGCCAGCCGGCGCTGCACATGTCCATGCCACCCTGCCAGGCCAGGTAGAGCTGGCCGGTGGTGGCTAGCCGGGCGCCCAGCCTCTTGCACTCGTTGGCTGCCTCCTGGAAGGTGAACTTCTCTGGAGCGGTTGCATAAAAGACCTCGCCTGTGAAGGACACAGCAAGCTGAGTAAAGATCTTCCTCCTGCTTCCCCTGTCCCATGTCCTCTGAGAGAGATTCGGGTCTTTCCTGGAGATGAGTCCTCTGACACGGTTTGGTCCAAAACCCTGGACCCATACCCACACGTCCGTATCTTAGATCTTGCCCTTCATTTCCCATATTTTTCTGGGCTTTTGGGCAGGATGATGTTAATTTCTTAAACAGGAGCTGTAGAAAGAAATCCACCAAAACACAAGGGGTGGATCCAAGGGTGGGGTAACGGGAAATCCAGGAGGAAAATCTTTTCTGGTCAGAAGCATCTTTGCCCCACCATTTGCTGTACGATTTTTCACCACTGGGGGAGCTGTCCTATGAGCTCAGGTATTACCCACTCAGTAAATCCTTAAAAAAAAAAAAAAATCTAATTCTGATGGGAAAAACAGGCACCAGATTTTGATTTCTTAGAATAGTGCTTCCCAAACTGGGGTCTCTAGGTTGTGAAGAGGCCATCATGGCACAATTTGGGGCCTGTAAGCTTAAAAAATATTTCCCCAAACTTAACAAGGGTATATTGGAGATTTAGGGTAGGGCTGTGGACACCCACTCACTGGGACCATTCTGGGTGCTTTTCCACAGTGACAGTTCTGATTGGCAGTTCTATTTGTCTTTGGTTAGACAAAGGTGAGAGTACAAGTACTCATTACCTAATAGATGGGTTTGGCTATTGGGGTGAGATGGAGGAAGGGGCCCTGTCTGCTCTTCTCTCCAGCCTGAAGGAGCGGGGGCTGTGGTATGTATGTAAGTGCCTGTGCAGAGGTGACAGAGTCTGGAATGTCCAGAGGGGTAAATGGGTGCAGATGGGGGAAGGAGTGTCATCCACATGCTGGTGTGACCCTTGTGACCAAAATTAATGCCCTTTACAAAACAAAGAATCCAAGTTCCTCCCCACAATTAACCCAACAGGAAAGTTTGGAATAGGGTCAGAGACTGGCAATAGGGAAACAGAAAGAAGGTGGCTGAGGGACCAGCTCTCCTGAAAACTAGGAGTCCATTGGGCTTACCCTGGATTGGCCAGGAGGCTCTCTTATGAGGGTGATAAGGCTGAGCTATTTTTTTAAGGGTTTTGGCAACCGAATCAGGGCCACATGCTAATTAGGCAATCTACTACTGAGCTACAACCCAGCCCTGGGTTGGGCTTTGAAGATATAGCAGTCCTTAGGATGGGGATGTGCTGGCCAGAGCAACTGGGTCCTGGCTAGGAGGGGGAGTCCCAGGTGAGTGTTCCTGTAGCAAGGGTTTTGGTGCCCAGTGGTGACTCTGGACAGTTTATAGAAGCTTAGGGCCACTGAGACCTTCTCTAAAGTGGACATGGAGGGGTCCAGACCAGTAGGCCCCTCCTACTTAGGCCCCCCTAATCCTTCATGGCAGAGAAGGATTGAGTCAGGCCCTGAGCTAATGCCCTGGCCCATAGCAGGTCTGTGTGGCCCTTGGGGGTGGGGGGGCGAGTGTTGGTCAGTTTGGTGACAGGGATGGCAAGCTTCCTCCTGGTGGGGGGACACACTTACCCTCCATCTCCTCGGCGAAACAGTACACATCATAGGTCTCATTGGTGTCTCGGATGCCGTAGGTTCTTACACCTGGAAACTCATCCTTGTCTCCATAGCAGCCTTCCCGGGGGGTGTGAATGGGGTACCTGCCAGGAACCCAAAGTGAGGAGTGTCACTTGGGACAGCGGGGAGCCCAAGGCTTGGGTTCTTGTAGCTTCCTTCCTTATAGGATGAAACAGCAACGTAATATTACATTTGACTGTGTCTACTCTGAATCTGTGAACGGTTTTTTACTGTTATTAGAGATTAAGGGAAGTCTCCTTTATTGAATATTTATTGATGCAAACATACACTCTTTGGTGCCCACAAACTTTCTGTAAAAGGTCAGAGAGTAAATATCTTAGGTTTGCAGGCCTTAGGGTCTCTGTGATGCTTGCTTAACTACCATAGTAGCACAAACAGACATAATCAATAAGGAACCCAATGAGTGTGGCTGGGCCCCAATAAAAACTTTATTTACAGAAGAAAGGGGTGAGTTAGATTTGGCTGGTGGGCTATAGTTGGTTCCTGCTCTATATCATTTGAGTCTCACGTCAACCTAATGAGGCAGGTGCTATACAGAGACGGTTCAAGGTTACATTGATCTCAGGTGCCAGTGCTAGAATTTGAGTCTAGTTTTGAATTTGAGTGTAGCAAGGTATGGGCTTTTCTCTATGCTAGACTGTAGTCTCTGAATGTTTATTTATTTTGATTATTAGTAGTTTTTGTATCCCAAGATCTCTTTGCCCACCCAAGATTGCAAAACTGCTTCCCATGCTTCCTTCCTGATACTTCGCGTTTCTGGCTTTAGGAACTTAAGCTATGATCCACCTGGAGTGGAATAGAACTTCTTGTCTCCTCAGGCCTCTGGCGGCTCTGAAATCCCCCAAGGGCAGGGAGCTATCTGCATACACTGCCATCCACTGCCCCAGGCTGCATTCCAAAGATGTAAAGAAGCCTCATTTATGCATGTCTAACCTTATTAAAAACAAAAAGGATATAAGGTGGCTTATAAAAATATATAAAACACCAAAGTTAAAATAAAAAAGCAAAATGTGCAGAAACCTTGATTAAAGGGAAACTGGGCAGGGATAATGACAACCCAGGGCAAGCCAGCTAGCCACCACTCCACTGGGATAGAATGGCAAGGATTTGGGAGGGGACATTGGGTGCTCATGTCAGCCAAGGTGGGACCGTGGCCCCTAACCAAGGCTGGCTACAATGTCACGTTGGCATGAGCTCAGTGTCTACCAGGCACCTGCCTCGCTGTGCTATGTCCTCTGACCCCTGGCCCCCAGCCCAGACGCCGGCTCTTTTGGGGGCTGTGAGCTCACCTCACAGTCTGGTCGGCCAGCCAGCCTGCGTCACACTGGTGGAAGCCGTCCTCATAGGCAGCCTGCAGCTGCTCAGGTGTGGCAATGATGGCGCTGTTCTGCAGGCAGGCCCGCTGCGCCCTATCAAAGTCCAGGGTGTAGCGCGTGGAGATGGCTCTGTAGTGGAACACGATGCCTGCCACAGACGTGGCGGGAGAGCTGTCAGGAGCAGCTTCTGATCACTGAGGCCCTCCCAGGATTATGGAAACAATCAAAGGGACCTTAGGAACTATCTGGTCCGGGTCGAGGCGCGGTTCCCCTCTCTCACAATTTTGTGTGGTTCTGATCTTGCTGGAACACTCACAGTAACAGGGAATCACTACCTCATAAGGTACCCCACTTTTTTTTTTTTTTTGCATGGAGGAGTGAACCTACTTTGCCACTGAACTTCATCCCCAGCCCCACATCCCCCCCCCTTTTTTTTTTAAATTTGAGACAGGGTCTAAGTTGCTAAGGATGGCCTTGAACTTGCGATCCTCTGGAGTGGCTGGGGTTACAGGCTTGTGCCACTGTGCCTGGCATTCCCTTTTGAATACTTATGATGATTCTGATAATCAGAATGTTCTTTGAACTAAACTAAAACCTGCCTCCATATATTTTTTTCTTGTCACCCCAGGATCCTATATTATTTTGGGGAAAGAGACACTCAGAGCCCCCTGCACCTTCACCCTGGGAGGTATCCTAGTGGGAGCCCTGTGAAAGAAAGGGGGCCAAGACTCTTCAGTCTTTTTTTTTTTTTTTTGCTTCTGGAACCAAGAATAAAGGAGTGGGAGGAGGAGAAGGGAAAAGATACTTGGGTGAAGTGTCAGGAGACTGCTCTGACTCATTTCCAGGGTAATTAAGGGAAGTCAGTTAGCCTCAGTTTGCTTACCTGCAAAAAGGGCAGTCAACAAGGCTTACTGGATCCTAGGCTGCTATAAAGCACAAGGGTCATTTACCTGTGACTGTGGCCAGGAAGTACTTAATCCACCCTGCCCCAAAGTCCACAGAGAATGGTTTCACTAGATCCATGTTATAGAGGAAGAAACTGAGGTGTTTTTGTGACCTGTCTAAGGCAAACAGTTGTGTGGAGGAGCTGGGTTTGAAAGCAGCCTGCCTGATTCCACACCAGTGAGGTCACCACTGTGGTCCTTTCTGCAGGTGAAGTGACATCCCCGTGAAGGTCCTCACCTTTCACCACAACCTCCAGGGTAGCCTCGCTGTCCTCGATGCCGTGTATCACCTCGCAACGATAGATCCCGGAGTCATTGGAGCGCAGGTTCTGGATCTCCAAGGTGGCGTCGCTGGGGATGGCCGGGTAATTGGGCAGCGAGATCTTGTCTTGATAGGCACTGTTGACCCGCACGTGCCCTTCAGTGGCCACCAGCAGTACCACCTCCTTCTCCTTGGAAACACGGCTCCACTTGATTCTCGGAGCGAGGGGGGCAGTGGAGGGGGCGGTGGTCACAGGATGCATGGGGTCAATGAAATAGCAGGGGATGGTCAGGGAGGTCCCCAGGAGGACCTTCACTGGGGACGGTTGGGGGATGCTCACACTCAGGGAGTTGTCATGCTCTGTGTGGGAGAAGCAGGGAGATAGAAGACAGACCTGTTACCTTCTGGAAACGCACTCTTTTGAGACCACAATTCAGTCAGTGTGTTTGAGTCTATGATGGGATGACCTGTCATATGGAAACTCCCAGAAAGCCTTGCAATACCCTTTCTAGAGCAATGTTTCTCAAGACCCCTGGTTTCTGCACTTCAGGACAAAATCTGTAGAGCCAGAAAAGGGTTCCAAAGGACAGCAGGGACATGGCACAGCCAGAAATCACCTCCTTATTTCTCAAGCTGAGGTACTCCTGGGTCACCAAACCACAGGATAAAACAGGACCCATCTTCTTGGAGTGACTGTTTGACTCAAAGATTTTGGAAAAATTTGTATTGCTGTACAAAAAGTTATTATGGGGTATAAAAGAATTCTACAGAGCTTTTATAGCTAAGATGCGAAACTTCAATGCTATGTCCCATTTTGGGAGGTCCACTTTGGACTCTACTTGACCTCAAAGGGGAACAAATTGCTTCTTGTCTTTAGGTGTTGGGCTGAGTGGAGAAGCATAAGAGATCAGACAATTTAGTATGCAAAGAGTCAGATGGAGGGTTTGGGGATGGGATAGAACTAGACTCCACAAAAATCAGGGAGATTATTGATAGGAAAGTTACAGTGTGTTTACCAAATCCTGCTCGAAGGAAAAGATCTGGTCGGGAATGGGAGAGACATAGCTTTTCAAAAAATAACACTTTTCATGGTGAGTCCTAAATTTATGGAGCCCTTTCAGTAGAGCCTACAGGTTAAAATAAAAATGTTTCAGATATTTGTGGGTGGTAGATACATAGCAGGGCAAGAACAGGGGAGCCAGGAATGTTTGGAGTCTGGCTCCGGGTTTTTGAAGTCTGCACAGTCACCACTAGCCCCTTCCACAAACACCTCTATCTTAAAGTCTGGCTCTGGCACCAGCTTGGTTTTCATAGTGGTGGTCCTCAGGGGACAGCTGAAGGCCACTGCAGAGTCCAGCTCCACAGTTGTTACAGTTCTCAACCAATGCTAGTGGGTCACTTAGCCAGTGTGGACATACCAACCCCAGGTGGTGGCCAGGAGCTAGGTATTTGTGGGTCTCAAAGCAACAGTAAAAATGGAGGCTCATATGCCATATGTCTCCATATGCAGACTAACAGATTACTAAATAAAATACGTTGTGTCTTCCTATTTGACCATGGTAACTTTCAAAATGACCTAAGCTTCCAGATTCAAATTCCTTAAGAGTTTTGCTTTGGATGTAGTGGCTGGGTGATGGAAGAGGAGCTGGGTACCCTTTTATTTGGCCCATGGACTCTGCACTGTGGGGGAATCTCATGCGCAGGCAGAGTTTATCTGTCAACACCCCAAGCAAACAGCCACTGCTTGACTCTTCCATTGGGTCCAGGGGGTGCTCATGCTCAGGTTGTGTCTCCCTAAAGGAGGATGCACACATACGGGCCCTGGGAGTGGCTTGTGCCTCTTGGGCAGAGAGTTGTGAGCATCCTTTCTCTCCAGAGTCTGGTGACTCTCACTGGCTCTACACACCCCCTTCCTCAAGATGAGGGCTCTACAGTGTGTGGTCCAGGGCAGGGCCTCTTATCTGGGTCTAAGGGAGAGTCATTCTACTTTGGGGTCAAGTTCATTCCAGGGTTAGTGAGGTTGTTTTGTTCACTTGGTAAAAGACCTTGATTATCAGAAAGATTCTCAAGCACCTGTTGCACCCCTGAGATCGAGCTGGGGGGCTTTGCCAAGAAAGGCAAAGACCTTTCCCATTCCCTGGGGACTCCTCTCTGCTTCTCAAGCATTTCCTCCCTTTCAGAGCTCCCGAGGCTCCTCCCCTGGCAGCTTTCCCTTTCTCTTGCCCCAGGTTCAGTGTGTAGTTCTAGGTGAGATTCAGAGAGAAGGATGCTGGGAAAGAGGCCCTGCTGGGAGCTCTCCCCAGCTGCTGTCCTTGCTAGAAGGCATCCAGGAGCTGGGAGATCTGAGAGAAGCTCCTGGTCGTCTGTACACACACACAGGAGTGCTCTCCTGCTGTGATTAGACTGTGTGGGTAGGGAAGGGAAGGACCAGGAAAAGGCCAGGAAAGGGGGAATTGTGTCCCTGGGACTAGCAGAACCATGTTCAGTAACCAGTGCTCAGAACTCAGTACTCAGCACCTACTGAGGAAAGGAGACAAGTGTGGGAATGTCCTCACCTGAAACCTCTTCTGAGACGGCTGCAGTGATGACCCTCAGAGTCACAAAAAGCAAGAGAAAAGTGGTCATAGTTCACCTGGAAGAGGGCAGGCAGAGGCATTATTTGGACAGTTAATGCATATGAGGTGGAGGAGAGTCACGTGATCTACCACGCAAGGTGCTAAACCTCACATCTCAGGATCTGAAATCACAGTCAGGCAGGAGGCTGGAGGTGGTGTGTGAGGACTTCTGCAAGAACCTTTTCTTCATGAAACCTTTACAGATTTCTGTTTAGTTAGAGGCATTGGACTGACAAGGCTAACCTCCCATGCTCTAGTCAGCAAAGACTCATTCCAGTGAATTCCTTTGGTGGTTAATGTTATGCATCAACTTGACAGGGCCACAGGGTGCCTGGGCATTTTGCCAAACATTGTTCAGGATATGTCTGGTCTGTGAGGGTGTTTCTGGGTGAGATGAGCATTTTAATCTATAAAATGAGTAAAGTAATGGCCTTCCCCAGAGGGATGGGCCTCACCCAATCAGTGAAGGCTTGAATATAGCCCGAGACTGACCCTCTCCTGAATAAGAGGGGAATTCTTCTTTCCTGTGACCAGTGAGCTTAGACACTGTTTTTTCTTGTTTTTTGTTTTTTTCCTTCCCTAGAGACTTGAACTGAAACATTGGCTCTTCCCAGGTCTTGAGCCAAAAGGGTTTCAAACTTAAAATACCCTATTGGCTCTTCTGTTTCCACCTTACTAAATCCCTGTAGATCTTGGGGCCTGCCACCCTCCATAATCATGCAGCTAGTTCCTAATAATTCATCGATCAATCAATCAATCTCCTCTCTCTCTCTCTCTCTCTCTCTCTCTCTCTCTCTCTCCACACATACACAAAGAATCCTCTGCCATATAATAACATTTCAGTTAGTAATGAACCATATATACAATGACAGTCCCATAAAATTACAATGGAGATGAAAAATTCATAGTGCCTAGTGACATTGTAGCCAGTGAAAAATCATAGCACAGCATGTCACTCACCTGTTGGTGACGATGCTAGTGTCAACAAATCTATCATGCTGCCAGTTGTATAAAAGTATGGCAATACCGCTATGCGTGGTAAATAATACTTAAAAAGGCTAATAAATAACTATTACTGGTTTTTATTTCCTGGATAATACTTTCAATTGTATTTTATTTTAGCATGTACTTCTACATATGAAAATATGTTTACTGCAAAACAATATGCTGTGGTACATCAGCACAGCCTCATACATCTGGTTTTCACTGTGTCCCTTCATTGCATCAAGAGGCCAAGCGGAGTATTGACCATGTGGGTTTGTGTAAGTTCACTGTATGATGTTTGCACAATGACAAAATCGCCCAACAAGAGAGTTCTTGTTAAGAGACACCTCTCCCTCTCCCACTCTGATTTATTTCTCTGGAGAACTCTAATGTAATTCCCTAGGCCCAGAGAAGTAACAAGTCACCTAATGTCCCTAATAGAAACGGAGTCTGCCACCAACTTCAAATCCAGGGATCCATCCAGGCGAGGTGGTGCATGCCTGTAATCCCAGCAATTTGGGGGGCTGAAGCAAGAGGATTTGCAAGTTCAAGGCCAGTCTCAGTAACTTAATAAGACCCTGTCTCGAAAAATAAAATGAACTGGGGATGTGGCTCTGTGGTATAATACCCCTGAGTTCAACCCCCCAGTACAAAACAACAACAAAAATCCAGGCATCCTATATATTTTAGAATAGACTGTGCTCCAAGGTTTCAGGCAAGACTTGGCTGGTTCATATCAAGGCAAGAGAGATTTTGAGTAGGCTGTGGGAAAATAGATTCATAATTTAGGAAAGAAATGGGAATCTAGAATTCCTAAAGCCCTCCTGCTGGCCCAAACACAACTTCATGTGAATTAGAAAGACAAGCCTTCCTTGTTGTCATGTACTGGACAACTGACATGACATGTACACAGATCAGTGACAGCTGTCATGTCAAGGGCATCCCCTGCACAATTGGGACTGGGATTCTAGTCTACCAGCGCAGGTAGACCCTGAAAAGACCCAACTAAATTTACAAGCCGCTAGCCAGGGCAGAGTCTCTCAAAGTGGCTGCACATGGGAATCACTATGCACACCTGTGACCTGCCTTCCATGACCTGTGCCTGAGAATGGTCACCAGGTTGTCCTGTCGGAAAGACTGGCGCTGGCACCTACCCTTCCCTCTGCTCCTGGCCATGAGCATTTTCTTTTAAGAGCACTTGCACCATAGGGAAAGGAAACCTTGGAGTGGGTGGGGGACTTGCAACTCAGGTAAAGAAGGGAGTTTGCAGAGGCGGAGAGCCATGCTAAGCTGAGGTGTGCCCAATCTCGGCTTTGTTGGCCCAGTAGATGTCGCTCTTGGTTCGGTCCCCACAGGCTGTGGCAAGATGGATTTGGAGATGAGGGCAGCATCCTGTGGGGCACTGGGGGGTTGCAGTTGTCCTGCCTAGAAACACCTGCAGGAGGGACCTTGAGGACCCAGGACTCTGGGTGACCCTTTCCTGCCTTTTTGGTGCGTGACATCCTTCTACCATTTGTCCTCCACTCATGCTACCTACGCTGGTCTCCTGAGAAATGAGAGCTCTCTGTGTAGGTGCTGCTGGGGGCAAAGAGATGCACACGTGAGGCACATGGCCCTCATACCACAGGAAGTCTGGAAAATTCCCAAACTCTGAGAAGTAGTCCCTTGTTTCTTCTTAAGGATTTTTCTACTTAGATGCTGCCTTTAAAATCCATCTCTGGGGCTCCAGGCCTGGCTCTGAAGGGGCTGCTGGGTTATGGGGCTCTCTTCAAGCCTGGTGTGACCAGCCTTTGCTAGGAAACGGTTGTTTGGAGGGCTGAGGAGGGTCAGAGAGCAAGGTGTCCTCTCCAGGCTGGGGAGGGAGTCTAGACTCTGGGCTCCCCTCTTCTCAGAGCCTCAGGGATTTGCGTTCAGACACAGGCCCGCCTGTTCTTTCCTCAGAACACAGCTCACTGGGAAGTTCTGTGTATGTTTTCGGAGTTGTGTTTCTTCCCTCGCTCTCTGAACAAGCCGGACATTGTCTGGGGATGCAGTAGTTCTCTGTGGGGCTTGGGTCCGCTCTGTTTGGCTCCCTGGCCTAGACCAGGAAATGGGAAGGAATGAAAAGGGGAGTGGGGGGAGGGATGGGGGGAGCGGTGGAGTGGGCAAGAGAAACTAATTTTATTTCTTCTTTTTTTTTTTTTTAGACAAACTTTGGGATAGAAATATGGTAATAAATATGCTCTTGTGTTTGTGTTTTCTCAGCTGTAAAGAAAATAGGGAGAAATTCCATTCTGTCTGGGTTCCAAGTGTCTCCGGGACTCACTGAAGTCTTTTATGTGAGGAGACTGACTTTGCCAGCGCAAGCACTGCGGCCAGGGAGGCCCTTCTCCATGGGAAGCGAAGGAAGGCAGTGGTGAGAGCTACAGCTAGTGAGGGGCTGTTGGTGGTGAGGGGTTGTATATGGTGAGGGGTACAGGTGTTAGGGGCTGTAGGTGTGAGGGGTGTAGGTATTAAGGCTCTAGGTGTTCAGGGCTGTAGGTGGTGAGGGGGTTATGTGGCCCCTGGAGGAGGAAGAAAGGGAGGGGCTAAGACAGAGAATAAGGGGGAGCACAGGGTGCAAGGAGTGGATGCTGTGTGTCCGCCTGGCTGATCATGAAGGAGCTGGCTTCCTCAGGGAGAATTACTAGGAGGCTTAGCAGGGGAGCAAGCTTGCTCGTGCTTTTCACCTGAGCTGAGGCTGAGTGTGTGTGTGTGTGTGAGTGTGTGTGTGTGTGTGTGTGTGTGTGTATGTGTGTGTGTACCATAGTTGGAGACAGGGAAACCCAGCCCTCCATGTCAAAGTAAACTCCATGTCTTGATTATTGTCTATCTGGCCACAGCTTTGGCCTTGATACCATCAGATTATAGGACGGCACAGGCAGTTCATTGGCTCACCTTGAATTCCTCTTCCAGCAATGTGTACAGTGGAGACCCTCTGTCCTGCCTCTCAGGCCTGGCAGGCCACCCACCTATTGTTGAACAACTACAGGATCCGCCCCCTGCCTGTTTCACAGATGCAGTGAGACAATGTGCCATTCTGTTTTTCAGTTCAGGACAGCCATGGTGCCTTTGGTGCTGTTCCCACACAGGACCTGGCACTCAGCAGGCACCTCCACGTTGTTGTCGCTCTCCTCCCGACTCCTGCTCTGTCGGGCCTAACTGAGCCTCTCAGAGCCTGGGGATTGGAAGAGCGCTTAGTGGTTGTAGAGAGGTTTCCTGTCCCGGGATGAGGGTTGGACCAGATAACTTTCCATAAAGAATAAAACTGCTTTAGTTTCAAAAACAACATCACCATCTTCCCAAACATTTGGAAAACAGAGGAAGGCACAAAAAAAGAATAGCTATAATCCTCCATCCTAATCCAATCCTTGCTGGTATTTTCATAGTTTTTCTTCTGGTCTTTTTCCTTAGGCATTTACTGGGCTATTTGTTCTTTGTAACGTCATATTTGGCCTCCTATTTGCCTTTCCCATAGAACACAGCGGACCCAATGGCTTTTTTTTTTTTGGTTCCGTCAGAATGTATGATTACAGGGCTTTACAATCACAACTTCCCTGCTGGGAATCCTGCCCAGGTGGCCTGGGCAGGTGGTCTTCAGCCTCTTTCTGATTGGCAGGTGCTCTTTCCTTCACAAGGTGGCCCATTTAGTCACTGGGAAGCTCTAATTCTGCTCCGGATCTTCCAAGACGGGGTGAAAGTGGCCCACCCCCATCATAACTTCTGCCTGTGGGTTCCACCATCAGAGGCCACACAAAACACAACTCCTTCTCTTTCACAGACTCATGACAGATCTCCAGGGTTCCAATCTGCACTTCTATCTGCTGTTCTCCCATGGAGACATTCCTGGTGTGTCCAACCAGCCCTTCCTTCTGTGGCTTCCAGATCTTTCTTTCCTCCTTGGAGCCACAGAAAGTCAAGATGCGTTACACCTTAGTGAACACCAGCTCTAATTCTTTCATTTTACTGATGGAAACTAGGGCCCATGGAGGTCACTATGCTTTGCTTAAAGACA